ATGTAAAATAAAATATATTGTACGTAAAACAGAACATAAAAAAATATGCACAATCTTATATGCATTCTACTCTAATGAAGTCGATAAGTCTTCAATCATTAATATGTAGTGCCATGTTACAATTTGAAAAAAACCCATAAATTTTGCTTATTTCATTAATTTGTTTTGTATATTTGTAAATATTATATTATAATTTATAAATATCTATAATATTGAAATTCGCCAGAACTTTTCTAGCAGTTCGATTAAAAATTTGGCATTATAAGAACTTAACAAAGCTTATTTTAGAGGTAATCTACAACAATGTATATTTATTAAATTAAAATAATAAAAATGGAATAAACATAGCATAAAGGAAGTTTATAAAAATTATTATGAACGATAAGAAAGCTAAAATCATATTAATTAAATTCATATTTTCAGACAAATTTATCAAGAACAGTGGAATTTAAAAAACCATAAATTATAAACCATAAAAAGATGTCCAATGTAACAAACACTTTTTTTGTAAAGTACTCTATCATGCGAAATTAGAGAAGTACTGAACAGCTACTTTTTCTTGGTATTCTAACGATTTCTGAGTGATTCCAAACCAGACTAACTAGATACCTAGTTTCTAATAATTATTTTCGAAATAAAAATGGCCTTGCGAAATTTGTCAGGAAATATCACTGCTGTGGCTAGACAATGAATCCATTGACCTTATTAGACAAACAAACCAAAACTGGTGAGGGGTGTAAAAAGGGTCTTGAGGATCTTACATAGATTTAAATATATTCGACTTCCCTACCCTTTCCCGATAAAAAAAGTGTTGTAGTCAATCGTGTATTCGTTGTAATTAAACCTTTAAACCTTTGATAATAACGATGTAAATATATATAAAAAAAAGCAAAACGAAACCACTATCGTGTTACCGTATAAAGAAAAGTAAGATATATGTAAAATAAAATATATTGTACGTAAAACAGAACATAAAAAAATATGCACAATCTTATATGCATTCTACTCTAATGAAGTCGATAAGTCTTCAATCATTAATATGTAGTGCCATGTTACAATTTGAAAAAAACCCATAAATTTTGCTTATTTCATTAATTTGTTTTGTATATTTGTAAATATTATATTATAATTTATAAATATCTATAATATTGAAATTCGCCAGAACTTTTCTAGCAGTTCGATTAAAAATTTGGCATTATGAGAACTTAACAAAGCTTATTTATAATCTAAAACAATGTATATTTATTGAATTAAAATAATAAAAATGGAACAAACATAGCATAAAGGAAGTTTATAAAAATTATAAAAAAAATTACTGTGAACGATAAGAAAGCTAAAATCATCAATTAAATCTCATATTTTCAGGCAAATTTATCAAGAATAGTAGAATGTATACATTTAAAGAACAATAAATAAACCATATATAAAATATGCCAAATTATGAACCATGAAAAGATGTCCAATGTAACAAACACTTTTTTTTAAAGTACTCTATCATGGAAAGTTAGAGAAATACTGAATAGCTATTTTTTCTTCACATTCTAACGATTTCTGAGTGGTTTCAATCCAGACTAACTAGGTCTTTAGTTTCTAATTTTAAAAAAAAATTGAATATTTATTTCGAAATAAATATTACTCAGTGAAATTTATTAGAAAATATCACTGCTATATTACTTATATTTACGGTTCCTTGCTAATCAATTCTACAAAGAAACAGGTAAGCTTTCTGCATTCGTCCACGTTAGGCAGTCAAATCGGAACTGGTAAATGATGGCAAAAGAAAGAAAAAATTTTTAATGATAGCTTGCGGACGTCGATGAACACAAAGCAATGGATTTTGCCTTCAGCAAAATATATCTTGTGCCATATAATCTTTTAAATTTGACCCGAAAATTTTAGAATATTAGCTTTGTCAATTTTTCAGCTTTAAAAACGAATTTAAAAGGTAATATATGTAATAGAAACAATGATAAATATTCAATGATAAATCGCGTCATAATGCTGAATTGTTTTAAAATATGCAAAAACAACAGTTCGAGTCATTAGAAAATCCATACTCATCCGAATCTTTCGTCGTTTGGCAATTTTTCACAAAACATTAATAATTTCAGTGAAGTTTGAGATTAATTAAATTTAGAAAAATTTAAATGAATCGCAATGTTTTGATTTGTCGAACATGTAGAAATAAGTATAATTAATCGCTTCCTTAATTTATTACTATTTAATAATTTATTAATTTATATTAAAAATAAAAAAAGCAAACAGATAAATATTTATATTTGAGTACAATTCACAGTACATTGATGCATTTGATGTTAATATAAATTATAATAAATATAAATTATATTTGAATTCACTTTATTTGAAATTTTGTTAATAGCCATAATGAATTTCCAACAAAGTGGATTAATTCCAGTTTAAAAGGCGATGAGTGCACTGCTGATAGACTTGAAAGACCAAGTTGGTGATAAATTATCTATCACTAAGAATCGGAAACGATTTGAATGATAACTCGATGACTTCGCCTAACTGGCGATTATCTGATCTGAAAATGTTTTGATTTGTTTTTGTGCTTAAGACTGCGAAATCGATTCCTCGCCCTTTTATGCGACGTCCGAAAGAACAGACCAACGTAATGGGATGTCTCAAACCCAAATTTGAGTTTAAAGGCCTTATTTACAATAAAGCATTGTTAATATTATTTATTATTATTTTATATTATTATTTATTTATATTATTAAATAATAAATATGAGTAGAGTTGAGCGCAAAGGGCAACATAAAGCTAAACAGTGGGGTGTGTTTCCCTTTTCTTTTTCCCTAAAACCTATATTATTTTCATAACCAGTGGGGTTGACCTTATTGGTAAATAATTTAAATTGGTAATATTATGCATGATTGCTTCCATTATAGTTTTTAAAACCACTATACTGAGATTAATCAACAATTTCATTCTCCCTATCAAAAATTTTATCGCATAAACAACGAAAAAAACAAGCCTGGCCAGAAACGCTAGTAACTTGCTATCTAATTTCTAAAATAGGGCATAAAAATTTCTCTACTAGATGGTCATCATAATGTGCAAGCAGCCTTTTCTGCTTTGTTTTTGACCATTTGTTGATAAAAATAATCATTAATATTTATTACAATTGTTAATTATATTACTGGATATTCTGGTTATTCATCTATACTAAGTCTGGCTAGGTCTCTCTCTGGCAAAGTCTGGTCCAATAAGCTAGCAGAAAGATGCCAGGAAAAAAATTATTCGAATCAATTTTTATTATTCTTGATTAATCGCTTGAAAA